CCCCAAAACCCCAAAACCCCAAAACCCCAAAACCCCATGCCTAAAAACCCTCTTCAAAAGTCTGAAATATCTAAAAATCATATAATCTCTCCATAAAACTACCAAAATTCCCTCCTGGCACACAAAAACACCCTTAAAGCCTCAAACTCTCACCCCTAAACTATTCCCCCCATCTTCACCCCAAAACCCATCCAAGCCAACTCCAAAAGTTTTCCCAAAATCTCTAAAACTCCAGATCGAAACCACACCCCAGTTATTGCAAAATCTCAGATTTCCTAAAAATTTTCCAATTTTAAAATTTTATAGGCTAAAATACAGATTTTAGAGCAAGATCTGGATTGTTACTGAAATTCAATTGAAATTTTTGATATTTGCAGATGAAAATTGTGTGAAAATTTAAGAAATTTTGGAGGATTTGGATTTTATTGGGGCTGAAAGGGGATATAGAGTGTTTGGGAATCTGGGTTGGTGGAGGTGGCTGGGAGTGAGGGATGGTAGGATTGATAGGTGAGATGATTTTGTTAGGGTTTTATGTAATGTTCACTTCAAACCAACCCTTCAATACTTCAATAAATCAATATCATTGCTACAAAAACAAGAGTGAAGAACACAGAAGACACAAGTACAAATAATCAGGATTTTAGTAGGGCTGAGCTACTGTTTCAAAGCATCATAAGCTAATGGATTTACTCTAAATAATTCTAAGTAAGAGGCTGTATCTTTAATACCTCATTCTTCTCAAAGATGGCTCAGTCTCACTCCTTTTTATCTATTTTAAGTTCATAATAAAATGAGCCAACATAGCGAGGAGGAAGAAAAACTTGCATAATTGAATAAGGAAGAATTAGATAAATTGCTGATGAAGACGAAGAGGACTTAAAACTCCTCAAAGGGGGAAACTAACACATTTAAGAAAAGGAGAATCTTATTATGCAACTTTTCTTTCTAGAACTTTTATGCTTATTCCTTATTTTTCTGGTGAGTAACAAAAAGCATTTAAATGTCTCTGTAGAATTGGTTAAATTCATTTCTGGAACTAAAGAAGCCTAAAAATTTAGTCACTTAATGATGAAATTTACAGAAATTGAGCAAAATGAAAGAAATGAAGGTACCGACTGACAAGGACGACTTGATAAAGTACCTTATGGACCGCTTAGATTATTCTGAACAAGCTATCGTTGAAGCTGAGAATTGAATCACTAATGAAAAAGCTAAGCTGCTACAGCTTAAAGAGGAGATTCAGAAGCGAAATGATGAATTGAGGAAAATAGTCGAGGGAGAGAAGAATACTCTTTTGAATAAAGTCCATCTTGAGCTTGAAAAACTCTGAATGCTGCTATCCAGGCCAAGGTCAAAGCAGGGAATGAGTTCAAAGCAAAGACTAATGAATGTAATGAAAGAGATATGATGTGTCAAGAACTTTACCTACAATCCATGTTTCGCAGGCACGAAACCAGAGAAATCAGAGCTAAGGACGAGAAACTCGGGAGTGAATCAAAGGAAATGAAGGACGAGCTTACACAGCTCAAGACTGAGACCAAGAACCTTAAGGAAGAAAATACTAAGCTCAACGAGAACATTGAAGAAGCCTTTGCAGTTATTAAGAAACTTGATGAAGCCAGATATACCCTCAACAGACCTATAGGACCCAATGGAGTCCTTAATGAGAGGAAGAGGCAGAAATTCCTTAAACAAAAAGATGAAGAAGAGTATGATATGAATATGGAAAACTAACCCCTGGAAATAATAGTGTCAATGCAGGCCGAGCCTCTGGAGTTGGGGCAGCAAGCAGAAATATGCTAGGTTCCAACAATGAGTACTTCTATAATGATAAAAATAACAACGATGCTGAAGGAAATAATGATGATGACTTTTCGTATTGTGCTCCTAAAGGAGGCGCATATGATCAGCCAGTAGCAGGAGGTGAATACCAGTCCTATATCGGCAACACCCAAGCAATCGATCCTAATACGTTTGGAAAGGGAAACCAAATAGGAGTTAGAGGAAGATAGTTTAAAGATTATTCTCCAATTTTGCAAATTTGATGATATTTATTGGGGTTTTGGGGTTTTGGGGTTTTGGGG